TTATTATTATTATTATTATTACACTACCATGCAGAAGTTCGGGGGCAGTAAGATTTTGAAAGAAATTAATACTTTTATTCAGAAAATACGTAAATTTACATATTTATCAAAATTTCGTTAAATTTAATTAATTACGTTAAATTTATCAAAAGTGACAGTAAAGACTTTTATGTTAAAAAAAATGCATATTTCAACTAAATGCTGTTCTTTTGAACTTTCTATTCATCAAAGAAACCTGAAAAAATGTATCACAGTTTCCACAAAAATATTAAGCAGCACAACTGTTTTCAGCATTGATAATAAGTAATGTGCCTTGAGCACCAAATCAGTATATTAGAATGATTTCTGAAGGATCATGTGACACTGAAGGCTGCAGTAATGATGCTAAAAATTCAACTTTGATCACTGGGATAATTTACACTTAAATATTTTTTAAAAATAGGAAGTGTTATTTTATGTTCTAATAATATTTCATATTATTGTACTGTATTTTTTATTTAAATAAATGCCGTATTAGTGTAATCTTTTACGTGTTTGACCAGACCTTCCTCTAAATTTCAGATCATTTTTTCGCTTACACAGGCCTCTAATTCACGTTAAGGAGGAGCCACTAAACATGGACGACGAGGACTGTCCGATGTCATTGGTGACCACAGCCAATCACAGTCCTGAGCTGGATGATGACCGGGAGCTTGAGGAGGGCAACCTATCGGAGGATCTGGAATGACTATTTTGCCCCACCCCTCCGCCGGGGCTCTGCCCCTTTCAGGCCCCGCCCCTCAACTAATCCACAACCACCGCAAACGCAAAAAGACTGGAAGCAGCAGGCGGGAGTATTTATTTAGCATGCATCTGGAGACTGGCCCGAAGAAAATCTATAGCACAGATCTTTTGGGACCACAGATGGACAGACATGAGACGTCTGCTGTTTAAAAACAAACATAAAAGGAAGAACAAAAGGACAAGATTTCATTGGAATCACCTCGGCCACCTCACACAACAAACACGAGGCTCACGGACCGAAAAAAGACAGAAGTGAAACGGGAGCGAGTCCGTTTTGTAGAAAGCCAACGGCCACATATACTGCCAAAAAAAGAAGTTTTAAGTTTGTGAATATCCAAGCCACATTAGTCGTCGGTGTTAGATGCAATTGCTGGTTCAATTCAAGTTGTTGCTCTGTTATTTTTTGCACATGAGTAGTATCAAAAATTAGTGTCACTGCCTGTATGTCGACAAAAATGTAAAAAGGAAAAAAAGCTGTTTTTCGTTGTTGTTGTTGTTGTTCATTTGTTTTTGCCCCCCCCCACCCTAAATTGTCGTTTCGTTCTTCCCGCGACGTAGCTTACGTTAATTTCGAGTCATGTTTGCGGCACCACCAACTGTAAATGGCATTTCTTAAAATCACATCAATAACACAACCAAGGTATCAAGACTGTTGCAGCCATCCAAAAAATGTACACAAAGTAGGTCTCGAGTCTCACTAGCTCCGTTTCTACTGAAAACGTGAAATGTGATGCTGAGAGGAAAAACACGAAAGAAAAAGATGCGTTTCTGCATATTCTTCTAGTCTCTTTACCTCCTTGTTCTAAAGCTTTGTCTACCTGCAAAGAGTCACAGGCAACAGCTAGAAACCAAAGCCAACACTATCAACGGCAAATAGCTTAGACAGAAGCCGCCAGACTCTTTGGTCAGTCTTCTGTGACTTTAACTAGTACAAAGAGAAGATTTTTTTCCACTAACTACCTTCGAATAACCTCTGGGATTGTCTCCTTTAGCCCTGTACAAATTTCTGTTAATTCTGTTAATGCTTTTTTGAGACTTTGAAAACACAGACATCTTGAGTTAAAGGGGTCATATAAAAAGAACAAAAAGAACATTATTTTGTGTATTTGGTGTAATGAAATGTGTTTATGCGTTTTAAGGT